ATGAAAATGAAATATATACCAAACCATAAATTTTTTATATCAAATTAATAGTACACCATTTCAATGACTCGAATTAGGATGAAAAACAGTTTTTCTATAAATTACTTGTACCACCTTTATAAAAATGAAATGCCCATTTTGTCATTTTGTTTTTACAGTTCTCGATCCAAATATATATTTATAACTATTATTATATTATTTTTTAATATTTAAAAATATATCTATTAAAATTAATATATTTTTATATATCTATTAATTAATAGATGGATTTATTTTGGATATAACAAAAATTTGAAAATGTTATATATAACAAAACCAAATAACAAAAAATTAATTCAATCCAAAGAGAGATAAGATGAACTCCCAGAAAGAGAAGTTCTTCCTTGCAGTGAACTGTATGACATCACCACAACCATACTCCTCACCGAAGGTGTTGATTCCATTCACGTGGAAGTCGGTGTTACTAGTAGAAACAAGACCACATGAGATCGCTTTTCGGGCACTTTCTGATGTGTTGAAGACAACACGAACATCACCGTTGGGGAGTTGGTTAAGCGCCTCGATTCTCCCATTTTTTCGAAGTTCTTCCGAAACCCTACCGAGTGCTGGGAGGGGCACATTCTTGACGACAACGGTATTTTCCGTCTTCTCTTTAGGAGACACAGAGAGCGGGCCTACTGATGAGTAGACGGATGTGCGGCGTACTTGTGGTTGTCGGAGGGAATTATTTATTGGTGTGTCGATGATCGATAATCGCGGGAAGGCGACACCTTTTTCGTGGGATTTTCTGACAATTGTGGGCGCTGTTTGTTCTTGTGTTTTAATCGGGTTGAGCGAGTTGAGATACGTTGATGGGAAGTCTGTGGGTCATTCAAACGTGTCAATTAAAAAAAGACAAACAGTAAAAGCTGGGTCGCATCACTCAATTTGACTTTTTCAGTCTTATCATATTCTCTTTATCATAAATTATAATTAAAATATTTTAATAAATATACTATATTTTATACTACATTAACATTTTTTTTACTCAAGGTGAAGAATTTTAAAAAATGTATTATTTATTACTATATTATTATTATGAAATTAAATTGAATTAAATGGTATATTAGTATAATAATATGTTAATAAATTGTTAATTACTGAAATTAGGTTTGTTCACCCAAATTTTTATTTAAATTTATTTAATTAATATAAAATTACTATAAATAAGTAAAATGGTTTTAAACTAATAGTTATAATAAAAATATTATTAAGTTTAGTTTTTTTGATTGGATTATTAAAAGAGATACAATACTAATATGTGTTCAATATATCTGAAACACTCATTGTTTCTTATTGATGCAATGTTTAATTTATAGTTAAGATAATGGTAATATATAGTATTTAAACAAAACATAATGAACTGTTATAAATATCGCAATATAACTAACCACCATACAATTTAATACAATTCGATTAATTTGCAACGAAATACCGAGAGTTTTACCTAATCAAATTTAATATCAAGGAATTCTTGTTATTTACTTTCAAATGGATTTCTAACAACTCCAAATCTTGAAAAAAAGCAAACTCCAAAAGAAAACCGGGTTCTTTAGATGGGTATTGAAATAAAACTTTTGGATTTTTATTGTCAGACCGTCGTATCGCATGCGACAGTGGACAAGTTTGGTATTGTGAGTTATGCCGAATTCATGAAGAACACGGGAGAGGCGTTTAAGATTGAAGACATTGAGAGGTATTGTCTCCGTGTCAAGAAGCCGAATGCACAAAACAAATTAGAATATATCGACGAGTCGTCGTACAACAAAGATGCCATTGGAATAACAGATGAAGTCCAATTGGTGTACCACCCCTCCGTCTGTGCCAAAATGTTATGTGAACAACTCGAAGAGACTGATGTCGAGAAGTTAAAGCAGTCCTTGTTTCACATGGGGCCACTTTTGGACGATGACTTTGTCGAAGCTGAATTTACTGAGGAAGGCGGTATTGAACAAATCATGTCTGTGTTGTTAAATAACGAAGGGAATATTCAAAAATATTCGATTCAGCTTTTAAGAAAGTTAATGAGTGCAAAAGAAGGGTTACAGCGAATAGTTAATAATGAGGAACTTGTCGAAATGCTCTATTCGTTGATTAATTCATCAGTGCCTTCTGCCGTCTCGAAGCAAGCGATTGAGTTGGTCTTTGTCGTTTGCGCTTATGACGGATTTTTCAGCTTCATGTGTGCTGCGAAGAGTTACGCCAAGACCAAGGCGGAACCTATCTTCTCGAATATAGTACAAATGTTGGACGTTGACGAGTTGGACACTCAAATTGACATTTTAACACTGATTTTAACTGTTCTGAACTGTGCACCAGCTATTGAAAATAGGAACCAAATTATCACTAACTTGAAGGAACTCAACATCGACACAAAAATTAAGAACCTTTTGAAGAAATGTAAAGTGGAGGAGTTGAAGAAGAAGCTGAAAGAAGTCAATGCGATGCTTTCCGTCAAAATAGCGACAAGTACCATCGACTATCAAAATCTGTACATTGATGCAAAGAAGAGGTGCAGTGAAATGGAAACCCGTGTGACAACTAGTGACCATAAAATCAACGAATTAAGTCGCACATTAGACTCAGTGACAGCAGAGAAGTGTAATTTAGACAAAGAGCTTAAAGAGTTGAAAACAAAATATATGAAAGAAGTCACTTTAGCTGCAACGGCACAAGCTAAATTGGAAGTCATTGGTGGCAAAGATGGGAAAGATAAAATTACCAGCGCAGATGAGATGCGAATTGAGTTGAAAAAGTATAAAAGGATGTATGAAAGTTTAAAGCCAAATGAATTGAAATTGGAATATGACTGCGTCGACTTGAAAGCTAAGAACGAAGAGATTAAAACCATCTTGGCTGAAACGAAAAAGGAAAATGAAATGCTGAAGGAAAGTCTGAAAATGCAAACATCACTCGGAGTCATTCCAAGTGATAACAGCACTTTACCTCCTCCACCTTTCACGTTACCAGTCTCTGTGGGAAATACTCTGGAAAATAGTGACTTGCCGCCTTTACCACCAGGCTTAGCTCCACCAGATGGAATGTTACCGCCACCAGGTTTGTATTTCATCACAATAGTATTATTATTCTATAATAATAGGAGTTGTAAAGTAAGATGTATAACAAATAGGACTTGCGCCACCGGGAGGAATGTTACCGCCACCAGGTCTAGCTCCGCCAGGTGGACTCATGCCACCAGGAATGTTACCGCCGCCAGGTTTGTGTTATTTTTTTAAATACAATGATATAACAAATAGGACTCGCTCCACCAGGTGGAATGATGCCGCCACCAGGAGGTATGCCAATGATGAAAAGCGACAAGAAGAATAAAAGTGTTGTGAAACCAAGTGAGAAGATGCGGCCGTTGTATTGGAATAGAGTGATCATCGATATGGACACCGACAAATCAATTTGGAAAGAAATTAAAGAGTCGAAGCTGAACGAGAAAGAGGTCAACCAACTCTTCTCACAAAAGAAAAATGCGACAAATTCGAATTCTCCAGCTGCCGAAGAGAAGAAGGTTAAGAACAAAAAGGAATATATCCGACTTCTCGACGACAAAAGATACAACCAACTTGGTATCATCAAAAGTCGGTTGCCAAAAGAGGAGGTCTTAACAGATGCTATTAAAGAGTTGAATACTTCGATCATCAATCCGGACCTCTTAAAAACAATTAAAGACTCTTTGTTGACTACTGAAGAGCTTGCACTCTTCACAGATGTCGGCAGTGAAACTGACCCAACTGAATTGTTCTTTTATAAATTGTCAAGCATTAAAGGAGTCCACGAACGACTGGAGTCGTGGTACTTTGTGCTCACATTGAATGAGAAAATTGAAGACTTTCCAGACCAACTTAAGCGTATGGAAGATGCTATGAATGCGTTGAAGTCTAGTTTGTGCTACAAGAAGTTTTTGGGTGTTGTTATATCACTTGGGAATTATATGAATGGAGGAAATGCGACGAGAGGGCAGGCGGATGGATTTAATATCGACTTCTTGCTCAAATTGAGAGACGTGAAAGACAACACGAACACAACAAACATGTTAGAATATTGCTTGAAGCAGTTAACCCGGATGGAAGGACTTCCTGAGGAACTTTCACCATGCAAGAATTGTGTATTTGACTTGAAGATGATTGGGGGACAAATTCGAAGTGTTGTTAAAGAGATGGAGAATGTGAAACGGATGATGGCCAAAGTTGTCGATCCGAATGATAAAGGTATTAAGACGTTAGTGAGCGAAGTGAAAGAGAAAGAAGACACGGTGAATGGGTTGTTAGACAAAAACACGCAATTAGAAGAACGTTTGAAAGAGATTGTGTTATGGGCGACTGGAAGTGCGAAGGACGCGCAGAAAATGGGGAGTGAAGAATTCTTTGGGACATACAAACAGTTTGTAGTGATGGTAGAGGAGACCATTAAGAAGTTGAAAAAGGTACCAGCCGAGCCGAAGCAGCTTAAAACAATCAACAGAGCAAATGTTGGGAATAAAGTTGCTGATGGTGAAGATCCAATGGCTGTTCTTATTGCGAAGATCAAAGCTGGAGGGGTCAAGTCTCAACTGAAAAGCACCAAATAATTTACACACATTCTATGTTCTTTTAAGTAGAAAGTTAAAGAGTTTTAGTTCATACTTATTAATAAATTAATAATAAATAATACTAATAAAAAGATGCATAGTAAATTGAAACAGCTTAATCGTCCCACTCATCACTTTCCTCAGAGTCATTATCATCGCTGTCATCGGCGATGTCCTCTCTTCTTTTTTGCATGGCATTTGCAAGTAAACTGGTTAAATCAACTTTTTGTGTTTTGTTCAAGTTGGCCACGGACGGGCGCGGCGCGTTCATGTCGACCTTTTTGAGTTGAGCCTTTCCAAGTTGTTCCAACATCGACCCACCAGCAGGAGAACCTCTTGGTGGTGGAGGGGGTGGTGCTCCGGCACCTCCAGGTGGTGGAGCCAAAGGAGGAGGAGCCAACCCTGGTGGTGGTGCAAGCAAATCAGCAGGAGGTGCGACCATTTTAGCTGCACCAGTCCCACGCCTAGGAGCTGGTTTAGGAGGTGCACCATTAGGTCTCGAACTTGGTTTAGGTGGAGCGCCATTTGGTTTAGGACCACTTCTAGGAGAAGGAGGGATAGGTGGAGGAGTTATATCTGTATTTTCTGCGCCTGAATCAACGCGTGGAGTTAAAGAGATTGAGTGTACTTCAGGTGCGTCATCTTTCCGTTGTAACTCTCCTAAGATTTCTGCTGGAATGTTTCCGGCTTGAACTTGTTCTGTAATGATAGCAAAGAGCATTTGTACTGTGTCGGGATCAGCAAGATCTTTTCGTTTGACACCGGCGTCTTTCAAGATTTGCTTTAAATCGTCTGAAAGCCATTTAGTGTTGATTAAAATTTGCTTTTTGTTGATGATCAAGTCTTTTACTCTGCGTGGCCAGACGTTTTGAGTCTTCGACAACTTTTTAATTTTTGGAGTGTTTTTTTCAAGGAACTGCGTGATCAAGGAAGACGACGTTTGTTGTTGCTCTAAGAAAACGAACATCCCAGTGATAATTTGACAATACATTTCACACATCAAATTTGTCGTATCAGTCAAGCCTTTCACTATCCCCTTTTGAACGACTTTCTCACACTCATTGATGTTCTCCATAAGTGTTTTAAGGTTGTCCCCTTTCTTTAAATTCTTTGCCTTCTTCGTGGCTTTTTCTTTGGATTCTTCAGACTTCTTCCGATCAGTCTTGATCGAGTCTTTCATCTCTTTGATCTTCTTGGGAAGTTCATTCACTTCGCCACGGAAAACACGAGTAGTGTTGTCTGTAAATACTTCATTACTCTGCTTAATACTGTTGGCATCGGCTTCAATCATACCTGCGACGTTCTGAATGGCAGTGTTGATCTCGTTACATCCTTCTACAGTCGGGCACATCGTTTTTAAAGCAGCAGCAAGTGTTGAAGAGCACTGCGCGAAGTGGAGTTGTGACTTGCTGTATGCTTCACAGGAGTCAATAAGCAATTTGTAATTTGGAAGTTGAGAGTTCATTTGCTTTGAGTTAATGTTTTAAAGTCTGAGCATGGAATGGTTCAGTGATCATTTGATGAAGTCATTTTAACATTGACAATTTCAAGTAAAAAAGCAATAAAATACAAAAACAAACCGAAAGAATAGAGCTGGTAAGGTCATCCATTTCCTTAACTTCAGTTGTTGTTTTGATCGAGAAGTCTTCCTGTGTCATTGAATTAAAAGATTTGATCAACTTACAAGATGTATCGTTTGTTTTTTCGAATAATAAAAAGGATGAATGAAACTAAGATATGGGCCCATTATTTTGAGCCTTTCTCGGGATGTTTTGGTTCATAATCTTTTTTTATAAAAAGCTATTATTGCTTTTGTGTTCTTTTCCTTTTTGCCCAAATTTGTAGCCTTTTCTTTTATAAACATCTGGAGACATATTTGAGAATAGAGTGCTATTTTACTTACTTTTGTTTGATTTAGTTGTGAAAACTTGTGTTTCACACCTGAAAGGGAATTCAATATTTTACATTTTTTGAACTATTATTAAATTAACAATTTGAGTTCTTTTCTATTTTTAACCCGAGTTGGATTTGCTCAGCAATTCTTAAAAATGCGTCGTTTTCTTCATTTCAATGATTTATTCAGTGTTTTGGTAATAAATACAAGTAGATTTCTTAAGAAATGGTTTTGTTTGGGAAATTAACAGAAATATTTAATGTGGAAATTTCTGATTGTGTTTTTGTTTCAATTACCAACTTCATAAAGTAGTATAATTATATTGTTTTAGTAATTAACTATAATATAACCACAATCAATTGTTGTTCCATCCCGATATTTCGGTCAATTATATTTTCTGTTGAAAGATATTATTATGTTTATTATTATTTTTTAATTTATAAAAAAGGAACTATCCTGAAATAATTTTTTTATTACAAAAAATAAAAAAAACAATAAAATTTAAAACAAATATATTTTATTATATAAATTAATTAAAAACAATAGTTAATGTAATTTTTATATGTTAAAAACAAATTAATAAAAATATAGTTATAATAGTTATTAATAGTAACACTATTAATATGGAATATTGTTGAAATAATATTTTAAAAATTGTATAATAATAATAATATTATAATTATATTTAATTAATGGAATAATAAAAAGTAATATTTTACATACACAACAAATAATTTGAATAATATTGATAGTCTAGACTCGAAAGTTTATTGAACTTTAATCAATTGAAATGTCTTAAATATTTCAAGGTATTCCAGAATATTAGTCTTAAGTTTATTTAAAAAATAACTAAATATGATAGATATGAAAACATCCATAGAATGTTGTATATCAATTTTAAATTTTTGATAATGGTATATATTATTTTATATATTATATTATATATATTTAAAGAAAAAGTTTGATTAAATTCTCACAATTTAAAATTTTCACTATTTAAACAGAAACATCATCAAGATTGTTTTTTTCTTAAAGTATATCTTTTAGTGTTCTTTATATGAACTGATGAAATAAACATATCACAAGCAATATTTAATTTATTTTGTTTTGATAAAGATTTAACAGAAGATTTGTGTTGTAACTTTTTACAATCAACCAGGTTCATAATATCTGAATACTTTAAATACAAAAATGAATATGCTAAGTATCCTTTTTATGGTTATATTCTCATATTCGAATGAAATTGGCGCACATTGCAAAGTTGTTACTGAAGACGAGTGTACTATTTGTTCTCATAATTATATATTGTCTAATACCAAAGAGTGTATCCCAATTTCGGATATCCACTGTTCACAAGTTGATTATTCACATAAATATTGCATGAAATGTTATCCTGGCTTCAGACTTTCGATTGACACAATGAAGTGCATTTTTGGAGACGAATTTTGTGCTCAATATTATGTTAACGAGAAAAATGTTATATCTTGTTCTTCATGTTTTTTTGAATTTACTTTAATTGATTCTCAAAGATGTGAGAATTGTAGTTTTATTAATTCTGGATGTTATCTGGCGACAGGTGATTGTTCAAACTGTACACAATGTGGAACAAACTATTATTTAGATAATGGAAAATGCATTAAACTAAAAAATTGCAAAAGCAATGATGAAAGGGATACCAAGAGGTGTTTAGAGTGCATTCCGGGGTATTACCTAGATGAAAACACGTATATTTGTCACCCAGGAAATATATCCAAATGTTTAGTGTATTCTTCAAACACCAATTGTTTTGTTTGTGAAACTGGATTGGTGCAGATTGGGAATAAATGTACTAAAATAGAACATTGTATTGAGAGTGATATGGAACAGTGTACACAATGTGATGAGAAATATTCTCTTCAAAACAATAAATGTGTAAAGTGTTTGGATGATAATTGTGTTTATTGTGACACCAATATATCTAAATGTGAACATTGTGAAAAAGGTTTTAATTTGACTCGAGGTGGAGATTGTGTTTTTTGTAATTCATCTGAAGGGTATCATTTTTATAATGACAAGTGCATTAGATGTAATTATGAATGTCAAAATTGTGATTTGAGATATCCTGAAATCTGTACTAGTTGTTATGATGGTTTTGTTTTGAATAATGGAAAATGTCTCAAATGTGGAGATGGGTGCAAAAGATGTGATCCAGAATATTTGGAAATGTGTGTAGGATGTGTCGAACAATATGTTATGTTGAAAGACAGGTGTATAAAATGTGAAGGCTCTTGTAGTACATGTGATCCCAACAATTTATCACAATGTATCGAATGCATCTCAAATTATTATTTGGATTTAAATACCAACAAATGTATTTCATGTGATGAACTTATATGTGAAGGAAGTGACAAGATGAAATGTACATCGTGTTTGAGAAAATGTCGGGAAATAGATGAACCTTATTTTAAGTGTATCAACATTTCATGTGTAGAGTATGATACTTCTCGAAGTGTTTGTACTGATTGTGCCGATTCGTATTATCTTGATGACAGCTATCGATGTGTTAAATGTGCTGATATTTGCGACACCCAAAATGGATGTGTAAAAACGAAAGACACGTGTATTAATCCACATAGAATTAACAACTGTGCGATTGAAACAGAAGACAAAAAGTGCAAATATTGTGCAGAACATTATGTAAAAAAAGGCGAAACACAATGTGTTTTTGAAGCGTACTGTTATTCTTTTAATGATGACTGTGAATGTACCTCCTGTTTTGACGAAGTGAATGGTTCTGTTTACTTGTATGTTCCATACGACAATGGCAGATGCAAAACGGATTCCACATATGGGCAAACGATTACAATGGTGTTACTATTTCTCCTTCTATTATAATACGGACACTTTGTTTTTACTTTAGAAATGAGCCAATAATGATTTTAAGTATTAAAAATGAGTAATAAAAAAAACTTAATTGCAAGTGCACTTTACTCTTGAGCTTTCATTGTAACTTCGGAGAGTTGTGGATTCCCAAATGACGTCCCTTTTTGCGAATTGATCTGCAACTTGGGTTCAGTTGAGGAAATGGGGCTATCAGTTTTAATTGCATCTCTTTCATTTGCGAGCTTTGTAATCTCCATACCAGTAATGAAGGGGTGGCTAACACATTGGTCGATCGAGTATCTCTTCTCAATGTCAACAACCAACATATGGCGGATCAAGTCCTTCACCTCCGGACTCTTATTTCCCCAATATGCCGGATCAAACTCGTATCTCTGATGACAAATACAGTCAAACAACTGGCGGTTCCCTCCATCGTCCCCATCGCTGAATGGCGGATACCCGCAGACCATTACAAACAAAATCACCCCCGCACTCCATACATCCACTTTACTCCCATTATATGGCTGCCCACTCAAAATCTCTGGCGCGACATATAACGGTGTTCCACACATGGTTTTAGCAAGGCTTGTCTGTGTAATAATTCGTGAAAGGCCAAAGTCTGTGATTTTGATCTGGTCTCCACCCTTCGTTACACAGAGAATATTCTCCGGCTTCAAATCCCTATGAACAATATTGTGAGAATGAAGATACCCGAGCGCACTGAACATCTGCTTCATTATAATTCGGCACTTCTCTTCAGAAAACGATGTTTCGGCTATAATTTGTTGGAACAATTCTCCGCCCGACGCTAACTCCAAAATCATGTAGAGGTATTTTTCTGTTTGATAAGTTGTTTTCAACGCAACGATGTTCTCGTGTTTCAATTGATTCAAAATAGTGCACTCGTCAAATACTGCGTTCGGTCTACTGCTAACTAATTGAGCCTTTTTCAAGTCAATCACTTTCATCGCGTACAATTGATTTTCTTGAATGTTTCTTACTTGTCGGACCATCGCGAAATTGCCTACGCCACAAAACTTCCCCACCTCGTACGCGTTTTGTGGTCCGCCTTGTTTCTTCTCTTCTTCTATGTCAACAAATGATTCAAACATATAAGAGACACAATCAATCGTTTTTCCGGGAAGCATTGTAATGTCGTCGTAATTTTTAATTTGTGTGGACCGTCCTCTCCCTATCAATTCACCATTTACACATGTCCCATTCGTAGACGTGTCAGTTAACACGTAGTAGGGCTCACCAGCCAATCTTGCTCGAATGGAAAAATGACGATGACTGATGTGTACACAATCACCAAGGCCCATTTGTGGGTTAACCTTCCCAAAGACTTGGTCCTCCTGAACTATTGGGACGTTAGGATACCCCGGTGACATTGAAACTAGTTGTCCCCACGCTTTCATTCTCTCTCATTTTCAGTTCATTCCGTTTTTTTATCTTTTCTTTGTCTATCGATATCGATTTAGACATTTTTTTTGAAGTGGTAAATGATATAGAGTCATTTCCCGATTCTATAGATCAAATAAACTGCTAATAAATAAGGTTAATAATTCAATGAATGATGGAAACTGGTATTATTGATTTAAATGTGTCATTAAAAACACTTTTGTTATTACTAGAAAAATATATTATAACTTCTACTCTATTATAATATTTTTTTTTAAAATTTTGGTTTTACAAAATCATAAAACCAGTTTGGGTTCTTATTTGCATTTTTGTTTATTTTGTGATTGTGAAGCATTTATGATAAAAACTGTTATTTACAACTTATTGGATGATAAAGTTTAAAAATTACTATATGGTATAGTATTAAAACTATACTAAATTGAAATTCTCAAGTCAACGAAGAAAGAGAAAAACAGAGGTAATACGCTTTTTCAATTGCAAATGGATATGAAAAGAATAACAAAAATGAATAGAATATAAATTATAGAGACGATTTATGAATTGATTTACAAAACAACACAACAATGGGTGCTTTTCTTTTTTGGAGGAAGGGGGTCGAAATCCGGACTCTCCGAAATAGAAGAGTCAAGATTACTTTGCAAAAAGGCGACACAATCACTCTGAACACCGACATCTATTTGTGCCGCTTTCAGTGTGTTATTAGCACAAAACTCAAGCGCACTTGGCTGTTCCTTTTCACATGCCTTCCCAAAGGCAACGACCCCGCGGATCAATGATGTGTCTGCGTACCGATTGATTTCTTGTTTCCACTTCTCGAGGTGGTCTGCAGTCTTTTGTGATGACTTTGTATAGACCAAAAATATCGAATTTGTATTTTTAAAGAAAGAAGTTGTGAATGAAAAAAGGGGATCTCTCCCGTCTTCTTGTTAAGTTGTTTCTTTTTGAATTAAAAAGTCCCTCAACCATTACAGAGAGTACAAACAAACCACATGTAAGTAGCGTTAATATATATGACGTTTCGTTGTACTTCATCAAATACGACGAAGAGTATTTTTCTTTGGACGTTTGATGGTCGACAGAGTCGATGTACTTGTCGATGAGAGAGTGCACAGACTGACTATCTTCTCCTACAAATATAAATTTAATTTCTTTCAACATGACATCCGGATCATCGGTAAGCTCTGAAATGGATATGGGGCGTTGTTTTTGCGACATCACAGAGTGGTTTCTGAGTTCACATAACAAGTTCGCACAAACAAGGAGTGTCGCAACCCCCTCCTCTTTGTGTTCTGAAAAAACCAAGTTTCTTTTCTTCTTTTCTTTGTTATTTATCAAGCAATTTTTGGAGTAATATTACGGGATTTTTATCCTATTTTTCTTTTTCTTTTTACTCTTTTTTTTCTTTCTTTTTCTGTTTTTTCTTTATCCTTTTTGAATAGGCTTTGTGTTCTTTTTTAGCATTGACCCGATTTCTTGATTTGACTTGTGCGTCGAATAAGATTTCCCATAAAAACTTTTTTATATTAATTTACTACATATTCTAATAAATAAATCAGAAATATTTAATTTTAATATATCTTTTGGGATATTTATTAGTAATCACCCAAAAATGATTTATTAATCTAAAACAAACCCGAAAAATGGAGTTAACAATTAGTAAATTATTTTGAATATCACCTGTAAAATAAAAATGGTGAAAAACCCCTTTTAATAGTAATTGTAATTATTCCCGTTTTTTATTGATAATTTTAATCGAAAAAATATAAAATATTTTATTTTTGAAATTTTATTATAAAAGAAATATTTTTTTTGTGTGATTCTGTTTCCTTTTAAAAAATCATGAAAAGTATTATAATTTTTTGATTTCAACAAAAGATGAGTGGTTATAATAATAACTATATTTTATTGTATGTTTTAAAATAATTTGGCTCATTTATTTTTATTTGGAAAAATTATAAATTTTGAATCCATATTTTTTTAAATAGAAAAAAAAATAAAATTTTTATATTAAAAAAATAAGTGAGGTATTATTTGCAAATGGGGTTTTAAGTTAGTTCATTTTGTTTTTTTTACTAAATTCTAATAGATCATTTTAAATTTTTTCGTGTCTTTTCAAAAAAAAATTAGAAATAAAAAAATATTTATAATTAAAAAATTGGCAAAATATAATAATTGTGCAAATAATAATTAATAAAAAAAAGTATTAATTATTTGTTTTGTAAAATATAACAATACTTTTATATTGATTAAAAAAGTTGTTTGTGCTAATTATTTTTCATACTATAATAATTATTTGTTATTATTATATAATTCATGTATTAATTTTGTGTATAATTAAACCCATTTACAGTTAGTTTCAAAACAATTAGCAATTTTTCACAACAAATCGATTTATGTTTCACAACAATTATTTTTGTACCTTTAATCAAACCTGTTTCATAAAGAATAATTTTGTATCATATATAATAAATTTGTTGCAATATAAAATGAGTTTGTCTCAAAAGAAATATTTGTGCTATAATTATCAATTATTGTTTCAAAAAAATATAGAATGTTTGCATAAATGGTTTTTATTGTTTCTAAACAAATAATTACAAATCAAACTAAATGTGGGTAAATCAAAACCTAAAAATGATTATATTGTATTTCGGCATGGCGGTCAACTCTTTTGAATTTATACATAGAGATAACATTGACCAAATTTTGAACATAAGTTCAACTGTCCAACCGGATTCAAATGCCCCAACCCAAACAATTCAACTTGCAGAAAGAAGAAGCGCTGCAGATATTTCATTGTCACTTATACAACCACCACTACCAACTCATCTCTAAATACAACCGACTTCTAATTCTACAGACAGGATATCCAAAAGAATATATATAAAAGTCACAGAATCACAAAGAAAAAACTGACCGAAGAATATGCCGAATATGGAAAAAACACGAGATTGGAAATACTACATGACAGAAACAAGAATTGGAGAAGCGTCTGTTAAACGTCTATTGGGAAAGCTTGAAAGGGGCGGGGACATATCAAAACCCAAGAAACAGGGTAGAAAATACAAATTTACACCCGAAATGCTCACAAATATTTCAAAAAAACTTTCCTTGGAGGGAAAAATACTACGAGAAACAAAGAAACTTTTGGCCGAAGAAGAAATGGAGAAGATTGCAAATGGAATTGAAACGGACTTTGAAGTTGTCTCAATATCAACACTATCGCGTTACATGAGAAACAGAGAAATTATGAATCAAGCCAACGTTCCTTTATTATCTTTTACTGAGGTGACTATTCGGGACCAAGGTCGAAATCTATTGAAAACAAACAACTCAGAGTTGAAAAAAGAAGAGAACTACAACAGTTTTTGGACTCTGGAATGCAGGTCGTCTTCGTTGACGAAAGTCATTGGAAAGTCGGGAATGTGAGAAGTCGTATGTGGGGAGAACGAGGAAAAAATATATTCGAGAATAACAACTCAGTACTTTTAATTTATCATGTATATGTGCTATTAGTGACACGGGATCAAAGTATTGTAAATTGTTTAATACAATTGTTAATAGCGACATTTTTATTTAATATTTTAGGGCTCTTGTTGATGTATTTATCGCTGTTGGTAATAATATCGTATTAGTAATGAACAAAGCTTCAATTCATTTGAATCAACTTGAGATTTATGCAGAATCCAAGGGATGCAAAGTAATGTTCAATGCACCTTATAGTCCAGAATGTAATCCCATTGAAATGATATTTGGAATTTGGAAAACTCGAGTGGGAAATTTGGTTAATGTAACGATATTGGATATGGTGCAAAACATCTCTAGTTGTTTCGAAAATATTACCCCAGCAGAAATAAGCAGAGTTATAACACACTTTATTTCGGTGGTGACAAGAAAAATGTTTGCAATGGAAGATTTATAATCGTATTTTCGTTTAATATGTTTATTGTTTATTATTGTAATTATTACTACATTATTATAATAATATATTTAAAGATATATATTAAAACTTTATTTAACTAGTGATTTGTAATTATTTGTTTAGAAACAATAAAAACCATTTATGCAAACATTCTATATTTTTTTGAAACAATAATTGATAATTATAGCACAAATATTTCTTTTGAGACAAACTCATTTTATATTGCAACAAATTTATTATATATGATACAAAATTATTCTTTATGAAACAGGTTTGATTAAAGGTACAAAAATAATTGTTGTGAAACATAAATCGATTTGTTGTGAAAAATTGCTAATTGTTTTGAAACTAACTGTAATATCTTTTGATATATTTTTTATTAAATATTATTAATTGTTTAAGTATAAATAATCGTTAATAAATTTAAAAAATTTATTACCAATTAAATTATAATTTTTTGTATTGACTTTTTTATTATTTTTAATAACATAAAGAGAAAGGACGGACATGGGGACGAA